ACGACGTCTCCTCTCGGGGGTGGGGGAGATGTCTAGCCAGGGTTGGCCAACTTAAAAACCTCACCAGCTGAGTTGTCTTCTCCCCCGGTCCCCGACACACACACACACACACACACACACACACACACACACACACACACACACACACACACACACCCCTCTCCTGAGCCAGCTGCACACCCAGGCTGTGTCCAGACTCAGGGTTTTTTTCAGGAAAAGTAGCCTTTTCCCGAAAAAACTTCCCCTGCGTCCAGACTCAAGCCGCGTTCTTTCGAAATAATTTCGAAAGAACGCGGCTTTTCTTTCGATGGCGGTAAACCTCGTTTCACGAGGAAGAACGCCTTCTTTCAAAAGTTCCTCTTTCGAAAGAAGGCGTTCTTCAATGTAAATAGGGCTTCCTCGAAAGAGAGCATCCAGACTCGCTGGGTGCTCTCTTTCGAAAAAGCGGATTGCTCTTTCGAAAGATCCGCCTGCAGTCTAGACGCGATCTTTCGAAAGAGGCTCTTTCGAAAGATGCTTTCGAAAGAGCCTCTTTCGAAAGAAGCCTGCAGTCCAGACATAGCCCCATTGTGGGCATCTCTTGGCCAGTTGCTATTTCTGAGTGGAAGAGTTGGCAAGGGCAGCTTAGACAACTACAACCGGATTCCTCCAAAACTTTTCTTGCAGGTGGCCCACTGAATGGTTCCACCAGTGAGAGTCAGAAGAGCCCAGTAGGCTCAGGCCGAAATATTCCCTCCCAGCCAAGTGCAAGTGTATGTGAGTTTGTTTGAAAGATGGTGTTACCCTCTCCCCTGATTCTTGTTGGCAGGCAGGGGGAGGGAACAATGCATGGATTCCATAGTCCTTTGCACTGTCTGTCTTCAGGGGCACATGCTCAGGGGAGATGTTCGTCAATGTCTCCCCCTCCTTCTAGGGGGTTCCCAGGGTTGTGAGGAACTTCACCGCTACCTGCCTTTGGCCCGGTGCTTCCCAGGGGGTCAGCTTCCCAATTTCACTGGCCACAGACAACACAATTTACTCTCCAGGGCAACACAGTCTCTGCTCTTCTCTACAGTTTAACAACAGACACACAGCAACCCGC